AATTTGTTTCTAATATCATATAACAATTACTTTACCTCAAGAATAAAAGCTGTCAATTGTTGTTCGATCTATTCGAAGAACATTTATAACAAGTAATTGTATCAATACTTAAAGATAGTTCAATTATAATGGTTTATAAGTAAAAATTATATTTATAAGCAGAAATCAATAAAGATAGAAATAGAGTCAATCAAAGTCTTTCTCAGTCTTGAAATATTTTGGAATTTTCTGTTAGAATCCGATCTAACATGGACACTAATAAACACCTGTTTCGTTATAGTTCTTTATAGATTTCTTTTTTAAAGGACACCCAGATCTATTTCAGGGAAGAATCACATGAATTAGTGAATTAACAACAGCACATTTGCTAGTAAATATCATTGAGTCTCATCTACTGTCTCACCCTACAGTTCAATGGCTATTTTTTATTTGTTATTGTCATAAAATGAATATTTATATGATTGTTTTGCAACTTCTGTGTTACAATTGCTGTCTGGAAGTATCTCAACTATAAATTTCATTCATTTGAAACGGTTTGAATTGTTTTTCTCAATTGTACGGATGTGTAGGGTTTATTCTATCCTACCCTGTTCTTTAGGATAGGGTAGAGATAAGAATCTAGAAGGTTAAAGGAAAGTAAGAATAACCTAATCAATGAGATTATGATAACATCGATGTGTTAATATACAGTTCTTAAATAATCTTCACATAATTATAGAATGATGATTATTTTTGAGTGATACCTTACACGTGTAATCATCTGAATGGATCGAACAAAAAAACAATCATCACACTGGATATAATAAAAGAACGTGTATATGAAATATAGCTAGATCATCATTTGATGATATACCAGCTAGGTCACATGCAAGGGAAAGAATATTTTATGCAACTAAGAGAATTTGTCAAGAGCAGTAACAAGATGTCATTGATGATATTGTCATGATATGTTTGTCATTACAAGTTTCAAAAAATTCTACTTTAATACTTTGTAATAAAAGCAAAATAAATCAGAGAAACGTGGTGGCATTTACCACTTTTCGAAGTCTTGCAGTAAGACTCCGCTTATAAGAGAGTGAGAAATAAACTTCGTTGAGTAAAGTCAGAGTTACAAAATTCTTCTAACACAAAATACAAGATAAGGTAATGTTTACTTTGCAGAACTCTAATATGGGACTGAAACATAACTCGAGCTTTTTCAACAAGCAAACCCATTCTTTTATTGAATTAAACAGAATTGAACTATACTATGTATATTTCACCCAATAGTCAATAACATATTAGGGAACTTTTGCTGAATAACATACGAATAGAGTACCATAAAATGTGCTACTGATAAATCATTTAAGTTGATATTCATTTTTTCGCACTAGTTTTGTGAACTTACCCAAATACCAAATCCAATAACAATGGCAAAATATGCAACCAAGACTAATATATCAGCCCAATGCAAAGCGACACTGGTGATTACAGTTGCCATTTCGATTCTTGACGAATTTACAGACAAATGTATATTGCAGTTCTTGTGCTTTATCTACCTTTTATTGTCAAGTTTTATGTCAATATATTTTGTTGATAACTACTAGACGATAAGAATTATAGGCCATTTGAAAGCATTCAAATAGATGTATTACATATTTCGCGTATTTATATACTACTTTTCAAGTCATGTTCTTGATCTAACCTCTTTATTTTTGTTGATGAATAAAGATTAATATCTTTACATCATTTACGAGAAAAAGCAACAAAGTCATGCCCAGGTACTTCGAAAAAACTCAAAACAAACGATTTCGAGCTGAAATTTTATCCATAAGTACATTAATCACTTTGTGTTACTATGATAAACCGTTAATTATTTTGAAAATTGATAATAACATGTTCGTTTCGATTAAAAATTTCATGACTATCTAATGATTATAAAATCTGTCTATAGACATAGTCGCAACTCGAAACTGTTGATTTGAAGTTTTACGAAAATGTCTTGTACTAAGTAAATATTTTATTAAAATGACCATAACTCTTCATTAGTAAACTATGGTTTCGAATTCTTTTTAATGTTCTTCAGTCTTATTGGGACCTACTCGTGGCAATAATATGAAACCGAACAGTGTCTGACAGTTTCATATGTTTCTTCGTCAATAATAATATTAAATAGCCGAAGAAGTTCAATATTTGAAGTATTAAATTAACTTTCTAATTATCATAATTGATTTAAAAATTTACCAATTCATAATGTACATTCACTAATGCTTACGTACCAGCAACAACAACATATGGATCGGTTGAAAACAGTCTTAAATGATGATAAACTACTACATAGAACATTGGAATTCAATACAAAAAAAAAATTATTTCAACAACGATTTCATACCGATTTTTCAATAGGATCACAAAAAGAGATATTTATCTGCGTTTCAAATTCACCCCAATCATTTTCTGCTAGGGTGCACAAAATTCAATGTTTAGGCGAAATTTTTTTTTGTCATATTTATACATAGCTAGATAGAACTTGTTGAGGTATACAACAATATGTATGTGTTAGATTTTGCAAAAAAAATTGATGGGCATAAACTTCTAAATACTTGCTCAAGTTTTCAGCATGACTGAAAAGCTAGCTGTTTGTTACCGATCTTTGATTATTTCAATAGGTTTTTATTATTATTCTACATGAAAAATTCAATGTAAAAACATATTCTAAAATATATTTTTACATTGAGTTTTTCATGTAGAATAAAAATAAAAACCTATTGAAATAATCAAAGATCGGTAACAAAAAGCCAGCTTTTCAGTCATGCTGAAAACTTGAGCAGGCCTTTTAGGAGTTTCAAAAATTTTCAGTTTTTTGAAGTCTATGCCCATAAAAAAAATTTTTTGCAAAATCTAAAACACACATATTGCTGTACACCTCAATGAGTTCTATCTAGCTATATATAAATATGACGACAAATATTCTGCTTAAATTTTGAATTTTCCGTATCTGGTATAATATGGTTTTTGTAGAGTACCCACCTAACTCTAACTGAAGGAAAAATATAGGAGTTTGTCAAATTTGATTGCTGGAAAACATCATATCTTTTGATACCATCTATTAGTTATGAACACTGTTCGCTAGCAAAGGTCGCCAGAGAAGTATTGATTTCGAACTCAACTGATAACTTGAAAATTTTATTTTGATATCTTAGTTCGTTCTAACAAGAAAACTATCAAGTCTCCATGACAAGTCGTTGTCACACTATACTATTAAAAATATAATTAATTCAGAACTATTGCAACATCCGTTCTATGAAAATTTAGGATTTACAATTTTTTAGTTATCATCACATTTCTTTTTGCAGGAAAATGACTGAAATTTTTATACCAGTGTATAATTTTATTAGCTGCTTTAGTTAGCAGTTCGCAGAAACACAAAATCATTTTAAGTATTATATTGTGATTATATTTCATCTAAATCCTTAGGATCATCTTTATTCAATAAATATCATAAATAAAGTACATTTTATTTTAAACATACCATTATTTAAATGCATATTTCTATTCCATTTTCGGTGTTTATTTAGTATCATTTTCTCTGAATCTCATTTCAAATAGTTGCCGAAATACTTTTAGATCTACAGATGATAATACTAATTTATCTGTTAAACATTATGAGCAACGAATAGGAATATGTGATTGAAATTCGATTTCATAATTTTGATATTTTTCAGCATCAGTAGTAATCGAAATCATAATAACGAAAAGACTAAAATGTTCAGTCAGTCTCAATTTTTTCGATTTGTTTTCAAACATAAGTTCTACTAAACACAGAAAATAAAGTGACAGATTTATACATCGTCATCTACTCGCTATGTTTGACTTGATCTCTATCCAATTGTTGGCATATTGAGACCAACTATCGAAAGAAAAACAGAATGCAAAGAACAACTGTCAAGTTTCGAGACGGATTACTTTTCGATGACCTGTAACGGATTAAGAATTGCACATGCATGTTTGATACGCTCCACTCGATTAGTTTCCAGTGTTTATCCAGCCCAGCTCAGAATGACACTATTAAAAGTATATTTCTTTCACAAAAAGAATTTCTACATGACAGAACTCAACAGTCACTGCGGCCATTAATTAGAATATTTCAAATACCTTATTATTATAGTGATTACAAGTTGAATAAGGTCAGATAATTGTAATGTTTAAAAAAAAACAGCCTGAAAAATAACGCAAATTACGTATTGAACTGAAACACCAAGATGCGTTCATGAATACTTCAACTTCTTGAAGATTATCATTTATTAACATAAGCTGCAACGAGCAAAATACGTGCTGATCGATTTTCAAAGAGTCAAATCGGTTTCTATTTTTGCCTAATTGTATTACATAGTTAACATTGCTACACAACAGTAACACTCATGCCACTCCATTTTGTTGATGATTTTGTACTCGGCCTTGTGTGTAGATGAAGACTGTCATTGAACAGAATAAATAGTTTGGTTTTATGTATTGGCTAAATGAAACTTTCAAAACATTCGCCTAATAAACATTCCTGGTTGTTATTAATTACGCGGTACGAAATCCATGTTAAAATTTTTGACGAAACATCAAATATCGATTAAAATAACGCTATGGAATTCTGTTTCTGCAGTTTTAAAGATAGGTTTTCATTGATTATACTGTTTCGTAAGTGATTAATAAAGTTTTATCCATCAAAGTTGGTTGTACTTATTTCTATTAAGAAAGATTAAAATCAAATGAATATCTATCTTTAAAGCGGAATTATGCGCATGACGAACTATTCACATGATGAAATGTTTACATAATACTTTAACAAATTCTCTTATTTTTTTGAATGTAATTGAATTAGAAGATATTTTGTTCAGTGAAATACATATGCAGTTTTAATTTCGAAATAGAACCGTTTATTTCTTATTTGTACATATACAGGAATACAAAAATTGAGAATTAGAAAAAACTAAACTAAAACCCATTGTTCAATGGATACATTCTTATGCTTAAGTACTTTTATACATTTTATCAATACGATAATCAGTAAAGAATGCCCAAACAAACACACAAAAAGCTATAATCAAGCCACCATTTATATTACAAATGGATTTCCAGAATTCATTTTCAGATGCTAATGGCGGCAATGCTGGCACAACTGCTGCTTCATCATCATCTTCACCTTGATGTTCAACACCACATATCCATGATACAGCAAGTTTTAAATAATAAGCAAAATTTTTCTTTGAACGATCTGTGTAGATATACAAAAATACTACTAATGAAATGAAAACAATATTATTTTATTTCCTATACCCGAATAAAATAGATCGAATTTTTGTATACTAGCAGTGGACTCAACATGTGATATTGAATAAATAGGTGATTTTGGTTGAATATTCTTATCTTCAAATGCTGTATCTGCTTTATGCCATCGACCTGGTTTAGTTGGTATTGGTGTTGGTTTAAGTAGATTATTCAAATCAAATACATTCAAACCATGTAACTTAAAAACAAAACAAAATATTCAAAAAAAATAATCTCTTCACTTATTCAATAACATCAAAAGCATACACATTGTTCAGGTATTGGTCGAGTAAGAAGACTAACAGTTATTGTAACTAAACAAGTTAATACAAAAAGTAAAATTGCAAAAAATAGAAAATGAAATTTGACTGCTTG